AAATTTCAGATTTTATTTTTATTTTTTTTATTGTTATAGTATTCTCAAATTAATTTTTTCATATTTTTAGACTAATTCTTGGTTAAGTAATCTTAAAACTGCAATCCTACATCAATATATTGCATTTTTTTAAAATAATTTTTAAAATTTTAAATTTTATATTTAATTTTTAAAATAATATTCATTTACTAATAAATCCAACTTTTTTTGCTATTCAACTCCGACATTTGTATGTCTATTTTATGATGGAACTCCGTCATGCAACTGATTTATTGCACCGTGAAGAAAGGCTTGGATTCTGGTGGGTAGTCGGCGGCCGCCTTCTCGTTAGAAACGACCTTCCAACAGCCAATCTCAAGTTGCCGTAAAGAAGGGAAATACTACGAGAAATTAGTATTATAAGATATAAAATAAAATAAATATAAAATAATATTTTATATTAAATAAATAGATTCAATAATATAATAGATGAAATTTTAAATAAAAATTAGTTATATAATTATAATTAATTAGATATTATGTCATAAATTTATAATTATAATATTTCTTAAATTATAATTATAATAAATTTTTTTGTAAAAAAAAAATATATTTTTTAATATTTGAGATGAGGATTTGAATCTTCTCACTTGCCAGATGTTATATGAAAAATTCTTTATAATAAAATTGTTACAATTGAATCACAAAAATGTTTTCACAAAAGAATATCCTTGAAAATGTATTAAAAAAAGAGAAAAGAATATCCCTTTAAATATTCTTCAAGGGGAAAACATTACATTTAATGTTGGAAAAATCGCCGAAAATCACAACAATCAAGACCGTCATAACAGCAATCAACGGCAGTGAATGATTCAAACTTACCAGTTGTCCTAACTCCTAAGTCCGATACCAGATAGGACATGAAGTCGGCTCGGTGAGATTGTTGATGACACAACCCCTAAGTCTCACGTTCCCCTTTCCTATTCAATGGCAGAAACGACGTCGGTTGTTGTCTTACGCTTGAATCACGCAGTAATTAAGAGGAAGAACCCATGAAACCATAGTACTGAATGCCTGAAAATTCGAAGAAATTTTCGAGCTTTGACTGTAAAGCTCCGGTTTTGAGCACAGGGGCTTCATTTTTCTGTGGTAAAGTTTCGAGATTTTTGGTATTCTTGAGGTATGCAAACAGAAGCAAGAGTTGGGGTGGTAAACTCCGGCCATGGAGGAGGGGTGGCTTCAGTGGATAACGCTGCGCTGAAGTTTAAGCAACAGCAAGAGTTATTACAGCAGCGGGAAACCCGGATCGGTACACTGTCGGAGCTTCTTGCTGGAGGGGTAGCTGGTGCTCTGAGCAAGACCTGCACTGCGCCTCTGGCTCGTCTTACCATTCTCTTCCAGGTTTGTCTCTAATGTCTATTTCTGCGTTTTCTTCTTTTCCTTTTTTCTATGAGTAGCCTGTTAGTTGATTTCCCTTTTTGAGATAATTTCCGGGTTTATGATATTTGGGATTTTTATTTATCTTGTAAGAAATGGAATTTTTCAATGGTAATGTTAATTCGGTGGACTTATGGTTGCATTGTTGCTGGACGGAGAGTATGTGAGGGAGATTAGGATGAGGGAAGTTATGGTAGTGGAATTAATTAACAAGAGGAAGAAAATGTAAACCTGCAGGAATTGAACGTAATAATGAGGAGAAAAGAATGGATATCTTTCTTGTTGCTCTTCCATATTGCAGCTTCAGCAGCAGTGAGAATTTGAAATTGCTAGAAAGATTTTTCTCTTTATATTACTTTGAGGCATCTGGACTTGGTTGAATATTAATTTACTAAATGGAAGCAAATCTCATTCATTAGAGGTGGGTGGTTTGCATATTGTTAGGAAAATGGTTCTGGAGGTTTGGGACAAAGAGAGTCTGTGCAGGAGGTGACAGAAGCAGTTATATAAAAGCATATTTCTTGAGATTGGTTTATAGTTTAATGCATTATGTAAAAATTCAGTACTATTAGATGATATGAATATTGTTCAGGCCTCTTTCATCATGTTGCTTTTCAATTTGGTTGAAATAAAGTTCAAAGCAAATATACTAATCTTTTAGCTGTGAGTCTGTGAGGTTGTAGAATCATATAAACGTTTTAAGTTGTTGATCCATTGTGTCTTAAATCCTTTGGATAGATCTTTCTTGCTTGCTAAACATCTCGTTCTGTTTGTGACTCATGAATGGAATTGTAATTATGAAGCATTCCTGCATTAAATGGAGTTGCTCTTTTTTGTTTTGTTTTGTCTTGATTCTTGATTATGTTGAATGTCATCCCTTCCTTTTGATTGGTTGATGTGTCTTAATCATTTAGTCCATCCCACGCTGATGACAAGAAAATAGTCAATCTATTTTTGGTGGAATCACATTTCAAATGAATCTTCAATCAATACACATTTTTTTATTTCTTCATCTTCTCTTGCTTGCATTATCATATTCTGCAGGTGCAAGGAATGCACTCTGATGCTGCAACATTGAGAAAAGCTAGCATATGGCATGAAGCATCAAGAATTATTAGGGAGGAGGGGTTTAGGGCTTTCTGGAAAGGGAACCTGGTTACAATTGCTCATCGTCTACCATATTCTTCTGTCAACTTTTATGCATATGATCACTACAAAAAGGTTAGTATGAGCATTCTACAGATACATTCCATTTATGATATTATTGCATCAGTAGTTTGTTCAAGTGTTCTTGTCCTTATGGTTTGATCTTTCATTATTGTGCTTTATGTATTGCAGTTAATACATATGATTCCAGGAATGGAAAGGCATGGTAAAAATATGAGTGCAGACATTGGCATTCGTTTTGTATCTGGTGGTTTGGCAGGAATAACAGCTGCGTCAGCTACGTATCCACTTGATCTTGTGAGGACACGTCTTGCGGCCCAGGTTAGAGTTGAATTGCAGTTAGAGCTAATTAGTGATTATGTTACTCTTCTGTTTTGTTTCTCACTTATTGAGTTCTTAGCTTCACAGACAAATGTGATCTACTACAGAGGGATATGTCATGCTTTACAAACTATCTGCAGAGAGGAGGGCATGTTGGGTCTTTACAAGGGACTTGGAGCAACACTTTTAGGCGTTGGGCCTAATATAGCAATTAGCTTTTCAGCGTATGAGACCTTTAGATCTTACTGGCAGTCACAAAGGTGATTTCACTTTACTTTGATTTATCAGTTTTGTGGTGTTAATCTCCTGCATATAAGCAAGCATTACATGTGTCACTTATTCAAGCCAAAGACTTATTTTTTCATGAATTGTGTTTTCATTACATCAGGCCCAATGATTCAACTTTTGTTGTCAGTCTGGCATGTGGCAGTCTTTCAGGGATCGCATCATCAACTGGTGAGTTATCTTTAAAGCTGATAGTGTTGGAAGGATGTAACCTTCACATACACTACCAGTTGTTGATTCGGAAAGTTGTTTAGTATAAATTGTTTCCATTATACATGTTTGACATGGACAATGAAAATTCTCAACATAAGAAGTTAATTGAAATAGCTGCCCTTGATGATGGTCTGTTGGTTTTCATCTGATTAGGAGTAAATGCAGCAATTTTATTTTCCCTACTTTTACCAACAATAATTCATGAAAAATTTTAAAGTAAAATAGTTATACAGTCTAAATCGTATCTCTATTAAAAAAGATGCTTGTTTTTGCTCCTGACTGAATAAAGAAATTACTCGTATTAAAATCTTTTCTTGCATGAGCTTGAATAATAATATTTAGACATAATATTTGTTCATGATGTGGGTGCTAATTTCTGCTTGTATGTTCAATTTGTTCTCTGTTTAATCTGCAGCAACGTTTCCTCTGGATCTTGTAAGGCGACGCAAACAATTAGAAGGGTCAGGTGGTAGAGCCCGTGTTTATACAACAGGACTTTTTGGTACATTCAAGCACATATTGCAGACAGAAGGCATGCGCGGTCTATACAGAGGTATCCTACCGGAATACTACAAAGTGGTGCCCGGAGTTGGGATATGTTTCATGACTTACGAGACACTGAAGAACCTCTTAGAAAACATTTCAACCCAATTGTAGTTGGTGCAAGTATATCTCTATCTTTGCACCTAAAATATAAGACAGCAGCAGACTTTGTAATGAAACATTACATGCTCATTTAGGTTGATTCACATACACATCACAGCAGCAAAATTTGCTGACAAATTACAGATATTGAATTTTCCTTGTGTAAATAGATTCACACAGGACTACAGATATTCAACAATGTTATACCGACAATAATTTCATTTGATTCAATTCAAACAGTGTGTTCTTTTGCTTGAATTTTCTAAATTTTAAGTCTACGTTGTTATAAAATGACCAAAGTTGTTGGTAAGAACACTGACTTTAAAGCAAAGTACAATTAAGGACACCAACATTGCATTCCAAGACTAAGACTAAGTAAAAGGAAAAGGATTATAACACAAAGAAAATCTTTTATTAGTATGAAAAGCAGAAAATACACTATTGATTTTTTTTTTTATTACATACATTAAATGAAAAGTTATATAATAAATAATAATTTTTTTATTCTCTCAATTCATCTTTCTTATTTTAAAATTTTAACTCAAAATTTCATAAAATTTTAATTACTCGAGATATTCTATTGAAGCGTTATTGTTTATTATGTCAATAAGATAATATTATAACTTGGAGTCTCATTACCGACACTTTTCAAAACTACACGTTGAGATCGCGAATTCATCCTGCTTGGAGATGACCCATTTGTCTAAGACCATATAAAGAATTAACTCAATTAAGATAAGTCAATATTAAAAAAAAGAAAAATTTGTAACAAGTCTCAATATTATAAATAAAAACTTTATGCGTACTATGATACACAACATAACATGATAGTTGATTTAATTTATACGCAATATAATGTATATGTGATATTTTTTTAAAAAATATTTTACCAATTGCATGTCCACAACAAAAAGACACCACAGGGACTTGATTAGGTCTTCTTCGATGTTTCTCAGCACACTTTCTCAGAAAAAAAAGAAAAAGAAAAAGAAAAAAAGAAAAACAGAGAAATTATAAAAAAACAAAAAACAAAAGACAATATTTTCTTTTCCTCCCCCTGCTTTTCCCTTCGGAAAAAAAAAAAAAAAATCTTTTTACTGTATTATTTCATATTTTTATATTTTGCCTTACTTCTACCACCGAAGGAACACAAAGACTCCAAACAGTAGAGTAGAGAAACAAAGAAATTATAAAAAAACAAAAAACAAAAGACAATATTTTCTTTTCCTCCCCCTGCTTTTCCCTTGGGAAAAAAAAAAAAAAACTTTTTACTGTATTATTTCATATTTTTATATTTTGCCTTACTTCTACCACCGAAGGAACACAAAGACTCCAAACAGTAGAGTAGAGAAACAAAGTATAAACAGCGAAGTAACGAAAGGGTGAAGAGAAGTCTTTCTTCTCATTGATTTCTTCTAGGGTTTTGTTGAATCGCCCTCCTTGAAGGAGGATCTAATGGCGGCACAAGCTCAGGCGGGGATAGACCCTGCCGTACTCGATGACATAATCAGGCGACTCGCAGAGGTCCGATCAGCCAGGCCAGGGAAGCAGGTGCAACTCTCCGAGGCTGAGATCAAGCAGCTCTGTGTTGTTTCCAGAGATATCTTTCTTCAACAGCCCAATCTGCTCGAACTCGAAGCACCCATCAAGATTTGTGGTATGTATTTTGCGTTAACACATGCGTTTATGGATGTTTTTTCTCTGTTCCTCTTGGGTTCTTTTTTGTACAGGGAATTGCTGAGTATTTGGCTTGGTTAGGTGGGTTTTGCGATTTTGTGAAGTTAGGGTTTTTCATGTGATTGTTCCTGTGGGTTTATGGGGGAAGGCCTGGGTAAAAGAGGCTGTTGTGGTGTCTCTAGTCTGCGAGGGAGACAACTCATCATGTGCTATGTAGCCTTGAGGTAGCATGGGTCCTATGGGATGCTTTGTGATATTCTAGTCTAGCATGATATTTATATTTAGAGAACAGGATTCCTTAACTAGTGGGTTTTGTTTATTGATACTGCTACTATTGTTTCCACCCCTCAAACATGGTAGAGTCAGCACCCGTGAATGTAATCCCTGGGTACTATTGTGGCGCTTGAATTGTTGCTGCAAATTTTAAGAATTGTAATAGCACATACCCACTTTTGAGTTTTTGAAAATCATTTCAATACTTTGTGATCTAATTGACCTTCTATATGATCAAAGACAAGTTTAGGAAGTTGATTCCAGGTCTATGCACTGCACAATATGTTCTGAGTTTGTCCCTGCAGCTTATGGGTGTGATCAGCATGATAAAATTGAGTGTCATCTTTGCCTTGAATTTTTTTATGTTTAATAATGGTAATATTTATGTGTTTTCAGGTGACATACATGGGCAATATAGTGATTTGTTGAGGCTCTTTGAGTATGGTGGTTTCCCCCCAAATGCTAACTATCTATTTCTGGGGGACTATGTGGACCGCGGCAAGCAGAGTTTGGAAACAATTTGTCTTTTGCTTGCTTATAAAATTAAATATCCAGAAAATTTTTTCCTGCTAAGAGGAAACCATGAGTGTGCTTCTATTAATCGGATATATGGGTTTTATGACGAATGCAAACGACGATTTAATGTGAGGCTTTGGAAAATTTTTTCTGACTGTTTTAACTGTCTTCCTGTGGCGGCTGTTATAGATGAAAAAATATTGTGTATGCATGGTGGTCTTTCTCCTGACTTGACAAACCTGGATCAAATTAGAAACTTGCCTCGTCCAACTGTCGTGCCTGACACTGGTTTGTTGTGTGATTTACTCTGGTCTGATCCTGGTAAGGATGTTAAAGGATGGGGAATGAATGACAGAGGAGTTTCCTACACTTTTGGCCCAGATAAGGTGTCAGAATTCTTAACAAAGCATGATTTAGACCTTGTCTGCCGTGCCCATCAGGTTATTGACTCCTCTAGTTTCCTTCTTCTATTATTACATTCTACTCTCTCTGAATTCTAAGTGAACTGATATGATGTAGGTTGTGGAGGATGGATTTGAATTCTTTGCAGACAGGCATCTTGTTACAATATTTTCAGCTCCTAACTATTGTGGTGAATTTGATAATGCTGGTGCAATGATGAGCGTTGATGAAAACCTGATGTGTTCTTTCCAGATTCTTAAGCCAGCAGAGAAAAAACCTAAGTTCATGTCCACAAAGATTTAGGGGTTGCACATGGTTCGCCAGTTTTCACTAAGGTCAGCTGAATATTGTTTTGTTAAATAACTCTCAACAGATTTTTCTTCTCTTTTTTTCTGTGTGTTCATGTTGCTTGGTTGCTTGCTTCTCTATTTTTTGTTACATGTGTTGACAATATATTTTGAAGATTTATGGAACTCTTCTCCACCATGAAAGGAACTTGTGGTCTCGGAAAAAAACCAAAAACTCAGTTGTAGGAATAAGTTGATTAAATGACTTGCTAGATTGGTTTAATTTCACTATTCACTTGTAATAAATATTCAGTTCTGTTGACAACATTCATAATAGGAATCTTATTGGATGTTATTCTCATTTTTGTTAAAGTTGTCGAATAAACAGAAGGACTGCTAATTGAGAATAATAATGGCAATGTTCTATTAACGGGTTGATCCATTCCTTCTTGAGTTTCCCTAGCTTCCTTTTTACCTTTCAATTTTGATAGTGATATATGTGGTGTTGGTTAGAATTAGATTAAATTTAAAAACCTCCTTTAAAATATATAAAAGCATAATTCCCATGCAGTTTGGTAACCTATATTTACCCTGGAGTAAGCTAAAACTTTCCATTCTTAACTTCCTTATTCCCTCCCTCCCCTTGAGTGCTACACTTGATTTTTTCCCTTTCTATATGTGGCATGCCACTGCGGAAATTATAAGTTCTAATTTCTTTTCTTTTGGGCGTTGAGGGGTTTGCTTGTTATAGATTCTGTTCAAGGGATGTCTTTTTCTAATTTACTATTTTAATTATGATATTGTCAGAAGGTCAAAATTCAGAAAAAAGAAAAAAAAATAAAAAAAGAAGATCTATTTGTTTCTCTTTTGCGTGAATAATATATGTGGTGCAGGTCTTTGATACATTTAAACTCTGAAGCAACCTACATTGCATGTCTTAATAGGATATGCTAACAAGTTGCCCTCATTTTCTCAAACACAGATATGCATAAACCTTTGCCCAAGAATTGGTCGAAACTGGTGCTGGGGCTTGAGGAATGATTTGGTGCTTCATGGTGTGCTTCAAACTGTTGGTGTCAGAAAACCTTCACAAATCAGATTTGAGCACAAGTGCTGCATGGGGTAGCATAATTCAGAGTTTTTTTTTTTTTTTTTCTTCTCACGCCTGCCCTGTTTTTCTTTTTCTTTATAGTAGTTAGTCTGCGGTGCATGTGTACATATATTTGGTCTTGCAACTCATGGTTATGCTTTGGGTTGTTAGAGCCTATAACTGGCCGCATTCACCATTCCTAGTGCCATTCTTCTTCTCTCCCATACTGTGAGTTGGTTGTACTAAATGAATTTAGGTGCATTCGGATGTTACCAAATGGTTAAACTGCATTTAGCGATATCTTTTTTCTAACCATCTGCACTGATGCCTTAATCGTGGTAATGTTTGTTTTTCCCAAGCAGGATTCTATTTACAAATGCTCTTTTACATTCCTTGAGTCAAATCTGCTTTCCTAGTTGGATCCAATTTCTAGTTTAGGTTTTCTTCTTCTTCTTCTTCCTCTCCACCCCCTTCCCCCCCTTCCTTTTTTTTTTAATGGCGAGATAAGCATTAGAAATAAAGTAGCAGTTACAACTTACAACTTTATTGGGAAGGACATTCCCAATGATGTCACAATACAGTAAGTAAGATACATCAGGAGGACATTGTTCAAAAACAACAAAATTTAGATTGCAGATCAACTCCACGCTCGACAAGGCCGTTAGCAAACAATCGGCCACCTGAAACACATGGATAAGTGGGAAATCAGAGAGTTGAGTTATCATACCCCTACAATCAGAAATAAAAATCCCTAGTGAGTGGAAATTACAGTCTCCAGAATTTAATAACAGTTTAATCACCTTAGACTCTGTTTCGTTAATAAACATAGTAAAACCCTTTTGAAGAGCAAGGGAGAGAGGCCAACACGGGATCCAATTTCTGTTACTAACCAAGATTATTCTCTAAAAAAATTAAAAGAAAAAATCAATCTGTGACTTGCATGTGTATGGGAGTATTTAAGTTTTTTGTGAATTGTGTACTGTTGATAAATTTGTATGAGAACCAAAAATCAAGATTTTTTGCAGGCTTCGGCCAAAAAAGATATTTCGTAGTCTTGACATTTTAAAATGTAAGGATGGTTAATGTTTAATTATAATTTTTCTTGATATTTTAAATATATAATAAGAGATAATATTCTCATATCATTTAATTCATTTCATTCATGTGTCATATGATTTAAAATCATTGAGAATATTTAATTATAATTATAAAATAGATGAAATATAATAAAAATAATATAATTATAATATTATATAATATTATAAATTTATTATTTTTAGTTTTATTTTTATTTAAGATCAACCTTCAATTCACCATATATTTATTATTATAAGAAAATTTCTAACTTGTGTTCCTAGGAGTGATACGTGAGATTAAGAACTTGAACTTTCAATGCGTAGATCTTAAGTTCTAATCTTGAGATAAATGGATAGGAATTTAAGTATGGAAGATTCTATTATATAGCTCATCATTTCACATATTAAAAAAATTTGTGCCATTAAAACATAAGTTAAATGTGTATTTATAATTAATTTTTAATTAATTTTTATTAAAAAATTAAAATGTAACTTTAATTTTATGAATTTTCTAATTAAGAAAATGCATGGGATTTTAATGATAAAAATAAAATGAATTTTTATAATTTGTGTCATAAGAATACATGTTAAGAGAGTAATTAATATACCTTTTAATCATTAATTTATATTGGAAAACAAAAAATTGATGTTAGTTTTAATATCAATATCACACATCTTAATTTAATTAGTTAGTTATTAAAATTAAAGTTAAATTTTATTTTTTTATGTAATTTAATAATTAAAAAGTATATTAATTACTTTTTCTAACCATTACCATAAGACATAAATTAAAAAATCCAAATAAAATTAACTTTTATAAATTTTTATATATATTAAATATAAAAAAATACCATTAATACACCATTTAATACCAACCCTCACTATAATTGCATAGCTTAACATTTATATACCAGGGTGTTCTGTAAGTTTTCATCATTATGAACGTTTTCTATGATTGTATCCGTTCAATTTTTGAAAAATAAAAAAATAATCACCAGAAACCTTAATTCCATTTCCTGCGCAAAACATTCTCCCTTTACGTTGAACATTAGTATGAGCCAGGCAGATCCATCGCCATCGCCATGGGTAATCGCTGCTAGCGGCGGCGACACCGTGAAGCTTTTCGATACTAAACTCCAACCTAACGATCCCTGCGTTTTGAGCTATACCCCCTCTCCGGGTTGCCAAGTGAATTCAGTCAAGTGGAATCACACTAGTAATCTAATTCACTCACTGCTCATTCCATTTTCTTTCCAGAATTTTAATTTCTACTCTCTTTCTTTTCTTCATTATTGGGGCTAAAAAGAGGAGAAATGATAATGCAGATTGTTTGATCGTCCTGATTCTGCTGCTGATTTTTGAACCTTTCATTTTCAAAAAAAAAAAAGATTCAGTTTTGCGATCTTTCTTTTTCTTTCTTTAAAATCTTATTCAAATTGAGGAAATATATTGGTGCAGATTTAGTGGTCGCAAGTGCTGGAGATGATAAGAAGATTTCGCTATGGCGGAAAAGTGGGCAGAGCATGGGGACAGTTCCAGTTGCTGGGACTGATATTGTGGACGGCATTGAGGTAATTCTTCCCAAAGTTCAAACCTTTTTTTTAATTTCATAACTCAACCTTTAAATGGAGGCTGCCTCTAGCAGCTTAACAAACTTATTTGAAATATATATTTATTTATGGGTTTTTCTAAGCTGTAAGGACACACCTTTTATCGTTACTTTGTATAGAAAAAATGTAAAAGCTGACATTAATGTTGTTGCACATGGATGAATATTTAATGAGATGGTTGATAAATTATTGAAGATCAATACAAATTTATGATAAAAAAAGTATAGTTATTATATTCTTAACCTTAACCCTTAGGGCTAAGGATAGAAAAACCCAAAAAATATTTGTACATTCCTCTTAAATAATAAGTGCATAAAAGGTTTATGATGGTAGTTGGCACAAAAAATGAAGGGTATGAAACAATTAAACTTAAGGGGCACGGTTACTGCAAATATTATGATTCCTTTGTTTTTAAATTATTTGCAGGAATCCATTTTGGCTATCAGCTTTAGCAACAAGGGATCCAGATACATATGTTCTGGGGGAAGTGGTCAAGTTGTAAGAATATGGGATTTGCAAAGGAAGCGTTGCATCAAATGGTTGAGGGGTCATACCAATACAATAACGGGTGCAATGTACAACTCCAAGGATGAACACTTAGCTTCCATAAGTCTAAGTGGGGATCTCATTCTTCACAACCTCGCATCTGGAGCAAGGGCTGCTGAACTCAAAGACCCCAATCAACAGGTTGTTATTATTATTTTGCATATGAATGCCAAGTTTATTGTTTTTGTGTTTTATCATTCCAATTTGCAATCTAATTGCCACTTTGATGGATGTTAAGACCAGGTACTGAGGGTTCTTGATTATTCACGGATTAGTAGGCATCTTTTGGTGACTGCAGGTGATGATGGAACCATAAATTTGTGGGATACAACTGGTCGTAGCCCAAAGGTTCTCTCTTTCTCTCTCTCTCTCTCTCTCTCTCTCCTGCAGGGTGACAGTCTAGACTATGAAATGGAACTTGTTACATCTACATTGTAATATTTTGCTATTTACAGGTTTCCTGGTTGAAACAACATTCTGCTCCAACTGCTGGTGTTAGCTTCTCACCATCCAATGATAAGGTCAAATCTTTTCTTCCTCTCTCTTTAGGATGCTAAAAATCAAAACAGCTGAACTTTTTGAAGCTTAGGAGCAAGGAAGCCTTTTTAGGGTAGGACACCTTTGGCAATGTGTTAAAAATCTTACATCTGAAATGCTTTTAAATCTTTTGATAGATGATTGCAAGTGTTGGACTGGACAAAAAGTTGTACACTTTTGACTATAGGTCTAGGAGACCTGCATCTTTCACTTCGTATGAGGTGCCTTTCTCTTCATTGGCATTTAGAGATGATGGTTGGACAATGGCTGCTGGAACCAGTAATGGTAGAGTGGTGCTCTATGATGTACGTGCAAAATTACAACCTCTTACTGTGCTACATGCCTACAGTAGTTCAGAGGTGATCTATGTTTCACAATATATTTATTTCATTTTATCTCTGATAATTTGGTAATTTTCATCTCTGATTGGTTTGCAAATGATATGGAAATTCTGCACTTAGAAGTGAGATTTTTATGATTTCTTCACACAGGCAGCTGAGTCTACAAAAAAATTCCATTTAATGAGGGATGAGATGCTTCTGAAGAAAACTACCTGATGAATGATTTCTGTTGGCAGTCCTGAAAAGATTTAATTAGCTAATATGATGGACAATCCAATTCAACACTTGCATATAAAATCAATTTTTAAAAATGATTATCAGTGCATTTTTGTCCTATGGGAAGTCTTCCTTGTTTGTATATGCCAAGAGTTTTCTCTAGTTTCTGGCTACACATCATGACTTTGAAATTTAACTTGATTTCTGTAATGTGCTTTTTCAATACTAACTACTAAGTATTCATAGTATTCAGCAGGCTGTCACAAATTTATGTTGGCAAAGATCAAAACCAGTAATTGTTAATGAGAGCACTTGCACTGCTGAGACTGCTCTTCTAGGAGGTGCAGTTGAAGACTCAATTCTTATGCCAGATCCTCTTCCCTCTCTGACCTCATCAAACCTTTCACTGTCCACAGCTATATCTAGTTCTCATCTTAGTGGTCAATCAGCTTCTGGTGAATTATCTTCTCTTACAACCAGTAGTAGTGGATTTTCAAGCATTTTCAGTTCATCTGCAACAGAGGAAACACCACAGCGAAGTCATGTATTGCTGGATGGAAAACTTGCAAGATTAAAAGCTCCTCATACTTCTTATAATTTCAAAGATGATATGGATGTGTTTTCGCCTCTTGTGAATGTTGAACCTATTACACCTTCTATGTGGGATGATCCTGAAGAAGCAAAGAAAGATCATCTAGCCTTTGATAAGAAGCCTTCATCGCTATTTTTTCCTTCAGCTAGTAGAAGGTTCCTTGCAGAAGATGGTGCTAGTGATCACCCAATATCTGATTGGAAATCTAGTTCAGCATCTACTCAGGTTTGGTACCTTTTCAATCTCTATTTCAGACCATAACTGCAATGCTTGAAATTTTTATCCATTTTGCTTCATACACTGAAATGTTGAATCTTAGAGGTCAAGAAGCCATAGTGTGGATTGATCATTACTTTCATATATCCTTCCACTGACTAAAGAGTAAAGACTGCACTGTCTATTTTTACATTATGCTGTACATTTGCATTTTTTCTTGTTGATCAATATTCAATTGTGTTTTTCTGTTTAGTGCATAATGCCAACATACATCAACTAGTTCTGAGAATTTGAGATAAATATTTGCAGTTATCTAAACAGTTATGCCAAGCTTTCCTTTTCCCACTGTATTTCTCTTCTTTAGTCAATTACTCAATTATTATGATGGGCATTATGTATATGATTTTCAGGTTATTGTCTGGCATTCTTTTAGTTATGACTAAAGCTTTTGAATATATTTGGTCAATTTGGTCTTTGGTGGAATTGATAAGAGGTTTTGAGTTGTCTTGACACTTTGTGATGTTTCTTTATGGCACCATCTTGTGCAGTATGATACCCTGCCATCATTTAGGATATTAGGTTCTACTCCTGTCCCATCTTCCAAGAGTGAAGTCCCCTCTATCACTCCTCGAGAAGCTTGGGGTGGCCTTCGTCACGGGCCATCCCGTTTGGGAATGTTGACTTCTGGTGCACTGACATCAAGTTCCATGTTTTCTGGAACACGAGATCTGTCATCATCACTGAGTCAGATGAGTATGAGCTCATTGACGAGTTCTAACTTGAGCTATGAAAACTTCCTCACCAAAGATGTCTCTGCAAATCAGGAGACTTCATTGGGACCTCCTGAACATTTCTCTAGATCCATGTCTTTTTCACTAGGTACAAAAGGCACCATGGGAGCAGTTAACCTTGACTCGCCAAGACTGGCATCTATAAATCGAAGATTTTCAAATTTTTCTGAGAGAATTTGCACTACTTCTGCCTTCAGTGATGGAACATCCCATTTGGTGGCTTCACCCAAAACGAAGAAGACTGGGGTTGAAACCAGTGGAGAACTTTTAAATAGCTTGTTATCAAGGTCTGACACTTCAGCTGCAACAGAATCAGGAACCTTTCCTGCTGTGAACGTAAGGAAACTAGATTCCTTTTTTATCAATCAAAAAAGTTAAATAACCATTGGCATTGCATCTTTTGTTGTGTGTTGCCATGCTAACTGCAAACTGCAATATGGCAAATGAATCTGGCACCTATTCTTTGATTCTTGGTTTTAATGCTTTCATTATGTCATACTTAATTGCTCACTAATTTTTGTACCGTGACAGGAAGGAAACCTGCAAACCCAAAAGGCCCTTCAGTCAGACCCTCCTCAGCAAGGAAGCAACTTCACAGTACAGCTCTTTCAACATACTCTTGAAGAAACACTGGATACATTTCAGAAATCAAGTCATGAAGATGTGAGGAACCTTCATATCGAGATCATAAGACAATCCCACATGCAATCGGTATCGAGTAACCTTACCCTTGGTTTTTGTTTTTTTTCTACTATCATGTTTTCATTCTCGAGATTCATTTTATGGAGACACTGAACAGGTGGAAACCACAAGTCTACTAACTACCATATTAGAGAACCAAGCTGAGCTGATGAAAGAAGTTAAGTCTCTCCGCCAAGAAATTCACCAAATTCGCCAATTGCTATGAGCACCTGCAAAGTTTGTATTTATCACAATCATTTTCCAAAGGTCTTTCTTTCAGTTTGCTATTTTGATTTTTACTGATTTTTGTTCTTGACAAATAAAATTGCTTCTGAGAAATTAATGCGCAGAAGAGGGTAATATAATTGAGAAGATATATATATATTTTCAAAAAAATGAGAGTTAGAACATAGGTGTCTGTTCAGGGATTGCATTTTCCAACTTGTATAGAAGTGGTTATCTTTTAATGCAGCTACGGAGTTCCATTTTTATGTTCAAAGTCAAGCCATAACTGGGTGTTCTTACTTTTTTGCTGTTGTAAAGGTTGTCATTACACCCAACCTCTGGAATAGAATTTTTTTGTAAATATTGTTAAGCCTTTTTAAATTTAATGATTTTATCAAATTTAAAAATTAGTCACTGTCTGATTACTTTTATGTAAATTCATGATTCAAATGCTTTTGTAGATTTTTCTTTTCCTAACAAAAAAAAAATATATTAACTTTATGGGAGATTTTTTTGGGCAAAGGTTTACCTTTAACTTTTTAATTTAATAAGTTTGTAAATTTTAATCATTTATTTTATATTATGATATTTGTAACCCTTTATTTACTTGAATTGAAAAAAATAATTCTCAAGTCATAACGTTTGTGACTTGATCGTTAATATTGCGTTATTTCAGTCCTTATCATACATAAGCTAATTTATGCCAACTTAGCATGCTAGCATGACTTCTCAAAAGCAGGAGATTTCCTGTTTATCTTGAAATATGTCTCAATTGTTTGAATAAAATACATAATATAGTAAGAAAAACTAGTAAAGCTTCTTCGAGAAGCCTATTGCATTTTTTTGGGAATTCTAATATTTTTTGGGTCTTTATTTTTAAAAATTACTGTATATATCCATTGTATTTAACCTAAAAAATAATCTGCATATAACATATTTTTAATTTTACAACAAAACAATTTTACAAGAAAGAAAGAAAGAAAGAATTAAACACTAAAACATGTAACAAAACAACTTTACTTTCTTATTTCGATTTCATCCACATCCATCGGAAGCCCAAAAGCTTAAGAATGAAATTAAGCACAAAATTAGATTAATTAATCCTTAATTACTATTTAATTAAGGTTAATCTATATTAATTCTGATAATATTCATGCTTTTTTGTTATTGTTCATTGATTGAGAAGACCAAACCTTAAGACTAATCAAACTGTCAATAGAAAACAATGCTTGTTGAATTTGTGATCCACCAACAAAGATTGCAGTGAAAATAATTCATTCTTGTTGTGATTTCTCTAACTTTTTCAAAGATTCTTTAAGCTTTTAACGCTAGATTCTCTGGTTGGTGAAAGATGTAAAGAAGATTTGTCTCATCATTTGTTTCATTTTATATTTAGTTTTTGGGCCAACTAAACCATTTAGTTCTTTATTAAAAACTAATTTAGGGATAATTCTTTGTACCATTTTTTTATATAATTTTATGTACTATTTAAATAATTAATTTT